GCGTTCTAACCGCTAGACCACCGTGGCGGTACGCGAACAAAAAAGGTTGAATACCGCTGGTGTAAGTCACTCTCTTCGCTTTAGGCAGTTCATCGTCTCGATCTGTGCTGCCTCCTCCTACCAACGACTTAATATGCCACTTTCTTTATTCCATCGTCGAATTTCTCGTGTTTGCTCCACTTGTTCAAGTGTCTTCTTCTTCTTCTTCTTCTTCTATAGTTTTCCATTGCCATATCCTGTTATCCATACACTCAAAATCGATTACTTAATCGAGATAAGTCTATGTCGTGGATGAATTTGTAGCATTTTTTAAAAAAAAAATTTAGAATGAACACGCATTTTGCCCTGCAACAGATGTCATCAACTTTGTGTGCTTTTGAAAATGACACATCTTAACTGTAGGCATAACTTGATTTTGTGGTCAGTTTGAGCCCTCCGCGGAAAGAACCCAAAAAGCGATGACTGGTTTTGGCTTTTTTTTTGGGGGGGGGGGGGGGGCGTGAAGAGAAAAACTCCTGCCCTGTCGAAATCTAACCAAGGTCGTCCAACCCAGGGTCAGGTATGTGGATACCACACAGAGCAATTTGAGGGGACAGTCATCATTGGCGTTGTCCTGATTCTGCATGTCTGCTAGAACCAAGGGATATTGTGGACACAGAGCGTGAAAGCGATAGGAGCTTGGTTGTTTTTTTAGAAAGTGTGTCCGTATTTCCACGAGTAAAGTCACAATGCGTTGCCTTGAAGTCAGTGTGAACCGCGCAAATTATTTCTGGTAATTGCCGCATCAAGGCTGTGTAATTGCATGTGAATATGTTACGAGATTTGAGGTTCCCACGGCAATGAAGATGCCGATGTTGGTCTTCTAGGTAGATACCGACGTTGCAAGGGATCATATTCCGGGAAGATGTAACACAGGCAGAATGTTTCTCCGTAACGTGCCTGCAAGTTCACATTCCGTCTCAGTCCTGAAGTACAACGTTGACAAGGATGGGTTTTGTTTGTGCTAGATCAGGTCCTTGATCCCAGCGAGAAATCGAGAAATATTCAAAATGAAATTATTTACAAAGAAGTTACGAAATTTACACATAGCTTAAAAAATTTAGGCGTGTTCGCTCTTGTTATTTCCATTGTTTTTGGATGCATGAATGCTAACTCTTGATGTTCTTCCTACAAAGATGCGGAAACCGGGAGAGTGAAGCCAGGAATGTTGCGGAAAGTGACGAAGTGAGCATCTTTCGTACTGGACGCTTATAAAGTGAAATGGACATTGGAAAATTATTGCACGAGGTTTGTCGGATTGGGAAGAAACGTGGTCTAAGCACTTGTAAATGCAGACAAGTTTCGGATGCAGTTCAGTGTTTTGTCGATAAATACCACCACGGTTCAAACTTGTAATTTGCACTAGTTCGTATTTGTGAGGTCCGGGGTTCGAACCTCGACCCGGAGACATACTATATCCTACTTTTCTCAGTCAGTCAGGGCATAGGTCACGATCACTTCCTTCTATGTTATTCCCAGTTTATAATGACCCAGCCTTTCAGCTCCGTTGTAGGCAAAGTGATGTTAATTAAAGCAGGGAACAGATGACACCCCAATTCGTGTTTTACTGTCAGGCGCAAACGAGTTTTATCCATGTAAGAGCGCAGGAGCCAAAGCCTGCCGACAGATGTCTCAGAAACAGAGGTGACATGAGAACGGAATTTGGCGACAAGTTATGAAGTGAGTTCGGACAAAGTCGTGGTGCCACGCGATGTTTGAGGGTTGTCATCACGGTGGTGACTCGGGCGGTAGCTGCGCCGGGCCGCGATGCACCGACGTTGCCGAGAAACTGGCCCAGCTGTTTGGCTGGAGACAGACTTACAAGGTGGAGAAACTGCAGAGGTCTTTAGCCGCCTCGGTAGCCCGGAGGAATTCTCTTCTGCAGCAACAACAACAACAACTCCGGATCCAAGCGCAGGCCGGATGCGCGGCAGAACCTATGAGGAAGGTGAGTGACTTCGGTTTCCTCTGGACCGGTGATCGATCACCAGACCGCGTTCTGCGGAGCCGATAACAATAACAGCAAACAGGATTAAGACACAAAGAGATTTGAGGTTCTTACCGCTGCGAGTCCGAACATTTGCTGTAGTAATTACAAGATTTGATGTACAGTGAGTTCCTGAACCATTTTTTCTCGTTGTCGCCACGTGGTAAATGTTGTTACACGCGTGTATTTTGCTGCCTGTTCCAGTATTCCAGACGATTTTCTGTCAAGACTTTCAAGAAGTATTTTGTTATATATTAAACGCAGTTAACTGTGCTGTGATTGTGATGTATTACGATTGCTCGTATATCTAATACACCAGCGCTGTTGTTTGCGTAACTGGTCGCCTGAAAATGTCGTGTCAGGAATGTGACGTCAGCAACAGACATTTTGTTGTTTTGTTTATCAGTTTTCAGGTACTTTCGAGTTGTAGGCATTACCATATCGTTGCTTCATATGCCATTAAACGTCGCCGTGGATAACCACCTTGTAAAATACCGTTAAGAAGTTGACTCTTACCAAGTTCTTGTCTGTAGGTCAACATAATTTTTTTTAATTGAAACTGTGTGTATAATAAAATCGTATGGCGTTTGCCCTCACACATTTACAATTTAAAGTAAAGCTGTCGTGTGTTTTAAACTGTCCATTTGTACCTAAAGTGTTCTTGGCACCTGGTTTTTTTTTTGTTTTTTTTTTTGGGTGGGGGGGTTACGGGATCTGTCAGACTCCACAGCTCCAAATTAATCGCCTTCTTGCTCTGAAAAGTGTTCCAGCGGCTTTGCCATATGCGAGAACAGCGCTGAAAGTCATTTATGTACTGTGGTTCAAGCTGTGCAAACTGAAACCTTTTCAAGATGAGTTTTATTTTCTGGAACACAAAGCATGTTTCAATGCTTGTGTCTGAGGCCTGTTTATATTTACCGAAAGAGCGGCGTGTTATGATGGGAAATCTGTTTTTGCGGACAAATATTTGTTCTTTATAGATGGAGGCTTTGTCTCCTTTTATTAAAGACTTTGGCGTTTTGTTTTCTGGTCGCATTGAAAATCCCATCCGTTTTTCCCCCCCAAAGACTAACTTCTTCCAGCAATCTTACTGCAAGTTAAAAGTAAACGTAATTCTTGTTTGTTGACAAAAGGTTTTAACACCCACTGCAACTACAAATGAAATGAGATTATATTCTCTCAGTAACAGTACTTACAAATATGTGCTTGCTATCAGCTTAATCCCAATGCCTGTTTGACTCAAAATTGTTTAATGGTGTATTTACGCGCCAACCCACCAGTGTTTCCATTTGGTGCACTAACGCGTCGGTGTTGTTACTTGTCAAAACTAGAAACTTAGTGCCCCAGCTTAGCCCTGTTAGCAGTTTTTCTTCATAATTGCTAAGAATACTGCATTTCAAAAAAAGCTTGTCAGGTGAAACGGATTATAATGAGATGAATGTGCCGTGGCCCGCGTATTCAAAGTCGAAACTCTTTCTGTTAACGTTAGACTAATCATAGTTGTTATCGTTGGTCAGTAATTATCTTTGGAAAACAGGTTGACCCTGCAAAATGAGGAAGGTTGAAAACTTGGAGTCTCGCCAGTTTGCCACACTTCTCTTTTTTTTTGTAGGCACAGACTATCCTGTAATGGTCACTCCATTTCATGGGAAGGAATGCAAAAAAAAAGTTTGCCTTCTAAGACTCCGAAAAAGGCAAAGCTTTTCTGTTTCGCATAGTTCACGTGCAGATTGATTCGTTTCGTCACACGACGTCCTTCGACTCAGTGGACTGTAAACACAAATATCTGGCATGCCTTGTTTTTCGATGATGTTTTCTCATGTGACTGTTCCCCCAACAGCTCTTTGTTTCAAGTATTCACTGACACTCTGTTTCGCATACTCGATTGGTTTAGGTTGACGTGGTTACAACACCAGCTCTAAGGGTATTATACCACCGTGTATTACACTGGTTCTTTTACACAAAGTCAACGCTTGTTGGGGAAATTGTATATTTTTAAAATCACACTAAGAGACGTCGGACGTATTTAATGTTGTGTTACATTCGTCAAATATAATCCCTGCTTTCCATGACAAATGTCTACAATAATAAAAAAATACCTGTGACACTCCTACTTCATATCCGAGAGGTCCCGGGTTCAAGTCTCGGCCCTGGTGAGGTTTTTTCAGTTCTCCTAAGTCCATATAGGCAAATTACGGGATAGTACTTTAAATTAGGCAACGATTGCTTAATTCAATATCCTTTCCAGTTAATTTTTTACCCATCATTCAACGCTGAGCTACTGACAGCAGTCCTGAATAAAACGCAGATATAAAGAACTTTCAGAATATATTTGGAATTAATGGCTGTAACGAAAGGAATCTCTCCTAAAAACTGGATCGGACAGCTGCTGTGTCAGGGCAGACCTAAAGGTAGACGGTGCCAGAAACGGGTTTCGAAAAGCTGGAACGGTTTTAATTTCACGGTTGCAAATGGAACTGTCCAAGAGCACAAAGACTGATGACGAAGAAATATGAATTTTGTCGAAACAAGATTTGTTTCGACAACAAAAAGAGAACATCGAAGTCGATGAAGTGTGTTGAATCAGAAAGAATGTCACAGTGCAGGCGTACCCAAAATGTGAGAAAGAGCGCGGCTTTGCGTCCTTATTATTGTACAGCAGTCAGCCACAGGCTTCAAATGCGTTGTCATGTCGACCGAAAGAACTGCACGATTAGATAAGCAGTCGTGTGTTCTTGCCGACGTAGCGGGCGCAAGGAGCTCGCGGTTTTAAATTGCGTAAAATCTTACATCGGCTGGCTGTCGTTGCCAAGTCGGCTTCTACGCGCGTAGTCACCAAGGAGATGCCGTGGATTTCCAGTGTTTGAATTTAAAATTTTGCAATACCATTCATCTGGCGTTATTTCATATGCATAGTTGTTACGGACACACATTAAGTAATTTCCGGGTGTGTACAGATGGACGTATCAGAGTAATGTCAATGTTTGTCTTTTTGGGTAGAAATTCTGTGTGGACTTATGGGTAGATACCAATGTTTCGGAGAAACATACTGTCTACATCTTCAGGAAGACCAACATCGACGTCCTCACGGCTGCGAGAACCTCGCATCTTACGATTTATTTATGATCTCAGGTAATAAGTCCTGAAAGGGTTTAAGCCTTTGACGAGAGTATAGAAAAATTGTTCTATTTCGGGGTTCATAGAATGTCTAAATGCTTTGCGATTTGACGACATCCGTCAGTGAACGGGACGCAGCCTAAATGTGCTGCATATCTAATGCTGACACAGTTTAAATGTCCTTGTGCTTGCATAGACACTTAATATATGACTACGCCATATTGAAACTTGTTTGGGTATTCATTTTATTGAATGTAAGCATAAACAGAAGTCCCTAAAAGATGTATACACACTTTTAATGAGTTTGCGTTCCTGAAATTCAATCGACTCTCCGCCATTTTGCGAATCTCTTTCATGGGAAAAGATACAGCGGTGCCATCTCTTAAGTGTAGGCCACACTAGATTCCCCATCTTTTTGGGACGCAAGATATTTATTCACACGCCCATTTCATTAGTCATTAGCACAAACTACACAGGATGGAGACCCCTATCTAGTCGTGCACATTCATCTGCAGGTCTTATCTACTGACTTGTACGAAAGTTAGTATCGCGCATGAAGATGGAGGCAGTATGTTCATCCGAAATGTTGTTTAGATACAGGTCCACACGCCGTTGCGTCCCCGAAGTCCGACGCGATCAGACGCCATTACGTCAGAACCTGCAGTTTCTTATCGTGACTGATGTTCTGTCATGAAATGACGTCAGGTACTGGAATCTGAGGTTGTGCATTTACAATTTTCTACCTTCGTGACAGAAGTACCGTAATGGTACAGTGCTGGCCCTTCTTTATGGCCAGGTGCCCGCCCGTCTGTCTGTCCGTTGTCAGCGAAACAATCTGTAGACTACAGTTACAAAGCGAGGCTCGTTCGTTCGTTTCCCTGGCATTTGGCTTTCGGACTTGTGTCTGGCTTAAGAGTTACAAAATTCTGGAAAATACGCGACTATTTGGAGACCGAGCGTCCCGTTATGTTTTTCCACGTCAGAAAAAATAAAGACTTTGTGGGCAAAACATTATATAGACGGCGTTTGCGAACAAGATATTCCAACACCTTCCCCTAACTTGGACAGAAGAATTGATTTAAGATAAGATCAGCCGTTATTGTTGTCTTCTTGAGCTATGAAGCTAGACTTTGCGGCGAGATTTGGGGTTCTCAAGGCTGTGAAAGTATTGTTCATCTTCTGGTCTGCATGCCGTGTGGACTTGCAGGTGGAGACTAACGTTTTGGAAGAACATTTATCTCAATCTTCAACTTCTGCAGTTGTATTTGCGACAACAAATGAATGAGTCTCATTTCACAATTTTTCTGAAACTCTTTGAAGCACACGGAGTTTTTCAGTGTAATTTGTATTTTGAATGTGCTTTGTCTCGTTTGATCATGTGTTTCCCCAGTGTTCTGCTCTTTATTATGAGCATATTTCCCTCTCTTGTTAGCGTTTATTTTTTTATTGCTTTGAAATGATAATTTGTGCTTTAAATCGCTCTGCGCGTGTTCAGCACCTACTTAATGTCTGTTAAGTCATCTGTTCTTTTTAGTCACACCTTCGACCATTTTCCTTTGCATTCCTGTCCTTGTAGTCTGTATCTGTTATTACGTAACATTCCTACATTGTTTGATAATTTAAAACTTTCCTTTTTGCTGATGTACTGTGTCAGTCTGCTTACCTGCCGAGCAAGGTGTTTTCTTTGCAAATCCTTGTTTGCCAGTTTCATTTGTTGTCGTCAGCCCTGTTGCTGTTTGAGGTTCGTCACAGAGCAGTTTTTGTATCAGTTTTTTTTACACAGTTAGTGTTTCATGGCTGGAACAGTTGACACTAATTCAGAATGATATTGGGAAGTATAATTT